CTAAACAAAAACTGGAAAACGAAAAAATAAAAAAAAAACAAAACCTCATTAAGTTCAAGTTGAATGTCATTCTAATTGAAAAGAATTATGATAGGCTGCACTGGTCTGTGCTGCGGATATATATCTCGGTGATCTGTGTGTAACAGATCTGTTGCGGTTGTTGTTTTTGGTTGACGCTTTTTTTTATGGCGTCATTTACATTTACAATCTACAATGAAGCAAAGTGGATACGAATGATATGAATGAAGTGCATTTACACTTTGGTCTTATCAAATTTAAAAAACTGAGTTCTTTTTGATAATTATGTATGAGTAAATACGTGCGTGAACGACAAAATGACAGATAAAGAGTAGCACAAGCAAAAGAGTATAATGAGGAAATATTTTATGGAAATCAGTTGCATAATTTAAACAGTACACAGAGAATCGTTGTATGTATTACACATAATTAGTAGTTCATCTGTAAACGACCTAAAAGAAGAATACACATTTTCAAATTTTCTAGATGTGTTTAAATGTGAGCTAAGTAGTGTTTTATGGATAATTAAAAAAATAAATTTAAATAGTTTGACCTCTAAATTGTAATTATTGCTGAAGACGAATTTTCTGTAATAAAATGTCAATATCAAGATACAATAGTTTAAATATGGAGACCCCATATACATAAATGTACATAATCTTGATCAGAAAATAAATCTATGTCGATTATGTGTTTTCGTATGTCTGTCTGTTGAAACCACGATAGATATAGCAATATTTCGGTCCACGTTTTGATATAGACCCTATATTGAGGTGCTTCCAACTTTTGACGCGTTTTTCCGTTTGCTTCTCTTTCTACCGAAAATTATCAATATTAGTCCACTTTTTTGGCATAGATCCCATTATTTGGTATTTTTGCGTTTTTCAACAGAATCAGCTGTAAATTAGTATTTTAGATTCACTTCGGTTATCAGATCTGTCTAATGATCAATATTGGTCCACCTTTTAGGGAAAACCGCATATAACACAACACCCAAAGGTCGGTATTTTAGACAGCATGAGCAATTGTTTCAACCAATATCCCTACCAAAAATTATCAATATTGGTCGATGATTCCATAGGGTAGCCCCATATAATGGTTACGCCCATCATTTGGTTTTTTGGGGTTTTGAACTAAACATGATCAATATCACTTTTTAGGGAATTCCTCATATAACGCTACATCCCAATTTGCGGTATATTGGGGAGCTTCAACACGTACTTCAACCATACTATCTGTAATTTTATATTTTTTATTTTCATTGAACAGAAAATCTCTCTACCAAAAATTATCTATATTGGCCCAAGTTTCCTGGTAGCCCCCACATAATGGTACACCCATTATTCGGTATTTTGGGGGGTTTGATCAACCGAGTCCGTCCTAATTTGATTTATCAAATTCTTGTGGGATCATGGGAGCTACCCTTGAACGTAGGTCAATATTAAACATTTTTAGATGATTGGAAAAAGTGTCCAAAATGGTATGGTGGCTAATTTGAAACTTTGGTGAATATAAATATTTTTTCGTACGGATACGTGTTATTCAATGAAAACATAAAATACCAAATTACAGCAAATTCGGGAAAAAAAACTGTCCAAAATACCGAATATTGGTAGTACAGTTATATGGGGGCTACACCACAACGTAGACCGAATATCCCAATTGCAAAAACAAACAAACAATCCCTGAAGTACTAACCACGTATGTGCAAAATTTCAAAGCTCCACCTTAAATATTGTGATCTCTATCGTGACAGACACGGACTTGCATAAATCGACATAGAATTTTATTCTTATGGTGGAAGGTATAAAAAGAGCGAGAACTCCCAAAAAGAAAATTGGCGAAAACCTATTCACGTCAGATCTCATTACGATTCTTCAGGCGGAGTTCCGATCTATAACTTAGTGAAGCAATAACAAATATACCGATGAACAGCTAACCTGCGATAAACAGTGAATAAAAAATTGGAATCGTAGGCAATGAGAAAGCCAATCTTATCGCCAAAAATGCTTAACTTTTAGAACAGTTCAAAATATTGAAAGTTTCGCTGTGCTAATATTTGAAATGAAAATACGTTTATCACAATCACATAGATATATATGATGACCAATTTTTATAAAATGTATTTTTTTTCTTGCTATCCATGATATTTTCTTGTACTCCAAATAATTTTGAAATTACACAATCCTGAATTGATTTCATACATCCAAATATTCTGAATTGATTTCATGATTTCATCAATCCTGAATTGATTTCATACACCCAAATATTCTATTAATGCAATGTTGTTCGAATTTAATTGTTTCACCCACCCTTTCACCAACGAAGCACTGGATCCTTTTAATGCTTCATAGTAAACGCCTCCCTGTGATGGTGTTGTCGACAAGCCACGCATATATTGGCGTTTCCAGTGATTAGTGACAGATGGTTCATTTTCATTTCCAGCATATTGTTCATCCGCCTCCTTTAAGACTTGGACGTCTGTCAGTTGTTTATGCATTTTGATTGATGTTCCGATATTTTCACGATCACGCAAATATATTAATTCACCCCGCAACGCGATTGCTTATCTTCATCTAAATTGAAGATCCTTTATTATAAAGGATCCAGAATTAATGATTTGAATTTCAAATCCGCCCACAACACGACTTGATTTAATCGAACGATGTTAAGCGTAACCCGGAACGTTTGAAACTAAATTGCCAATGATTCGATTTGATAATAGTTCACATGCTAAAATCATTTTTTATTTATTAGGATTATTTACTAAAACATTTATGATTGGTATTTTTATCATAAACACCCAATTAGCTAAAACGAACGAAGCGTGAGGTGAGATTCACATAATAAATAACAAGAAAAACAATTAATGTTTTCAAAAAATAGAAAAATAGTTTTATTGCGGTTTACCTTATTATTGACAAATCAAATTATATTGAAAATGTGAGAAATTCATGGTGCTCTGTTAAGTAGATCTGTTTAGACATACGCTTGTCATTTTATACATGTGTAAAAAATATTTACATTTGTATCGAGTGCCACATAAACAACAATTTCACACATGATCAAAGTTGATGTGAAATTAAACGAGTATAAAATCTGAGATCACGTGAATATTGTGAAAATAGCTGTTGTCGATTTTGTAGAAGTTAAAACAGGGGAAATGGTTAAACCCATTTTTTGAAGGAGGGAAAAAGAGGCTCGGCTTTAAGATATGTAGAAATAATTTATTTATATCTATGTATTAAAATTTATTTGAGAATGACTTGCGAGAAATAAATTTTTACCACATCAATAAAATTTAATTCTTCTCTTTATAAACCAGTAAGATCCTACAAGCATTATTGCAAATTGAAATTAAAGAGAATGTGAAGGTTGGTATATAATACCAAACCAATGAAACAAAACTATTTTTGTTTTGCAACCCAAGAAGTTCCACGAAAAATTCGCTTGCTTCTTTCGAGAGAGTGAACCAACCAGACAGACTCCAAATTGTCGGAAAAAGAATTGGTCCAAAGAAACAAGAGTATAAAACCAACATTTCCACTTCGGGACATTTTGCCGCAGAGATATTAGTCCTAATGCTGAGGGTATAAAAATATGTGATGTTCTGCCATTAGAAAATCTGACAAAAATAAAGTTGTCGGTTCATTGCACCCCTAAAATATCATTATAATTATAGGCGTCATCCTTGACCATAATCGGAATTTCATGTAAAATTTCAAAGCGATCAGCGCGACATTTCCGTCCTCTAGTGGCTTAATAGTAATACTAAACAAGTGAAAAAGCATTAAGCTCTTCCGGGTCGAACTTTGGATACCCTCCACCAAAGGTATACTGACAGCTAATTGAAATGGGGCTATGCCTAAACTTGGACCGATATACCATCATCGAACTTGACTTGCCTGCAGACAAAAGACGACTCTATGAAAAATTTTAGCGATCTGTCTCGATCCTTCAGAAGATTACAACGGACGGACGGACATGGCTAGGTCGTCTTAGAATTTTACCCTGATCAAAAATGTATAAACATTATAGGGTCGGAAATGAATATTTCGATTAGTTACAAACGGAATGACAAAATTAATATACCCTCCATACGATGGTGGAGGGTATAAAAATAACATACACATAGATCCCTTTAAATATTTGCGTATAAATCCGATATTCGAGTAGATACATCACTTTAATTGGTACCAATTTAAAGGTCAACCTCCTCTATGTCCTTCAGAAGTAAATATATTCGACCCAGAATACAAATTTTGTAATTTTTCACACACATGTCTGGGCCTATTTGACTCGTGATGTCCGGGTCATAATTGTGGCCTCTACAGCGAACATTCATTCCCTTAATATTAACGAATCATTACCAAAAACAATAGGGGTCTTGATTGGCCAGAACACATCCCACATGCAATTTCGTGACGATTGGTCTTTAACACTAGAACGCCAAAGGCGGTCATTTTGACCGCTTTCCAATTTCAAGTACAAAAACAACTGTGCATTTAATGACACTTTTTTAAAAATTTGGTGACTTTTTGTACCTCATAGAATTACGTTTACTATAAAAAATTCACCAAATTTAAAAAAAGTGTCATTAAATGCACTGTTGCTTTTGTACTTGAAATTGGAAAGCGGTCAAAATGACCGCCTTTGGCGTTCTAGTGTTAACTGTGGCCTGTATTGTGTTTACAAATTATAATGGACAGCTGGACACACAAATCTAGATCGACTCCGCTAATCGAGATATAATCAGACGATCACTTAACGGTGAGTCTAGGACCAATATTTCCCGGCATTGCAAACTATTAAGGCTGCACAAAGCTATTCAACCCTGACAACATAGTTGTTTTTATGGTATAAATATAATCAGACATTATGAAAGTTTTATCTCCAGACACTCCAAACAATTATATGTATTTATTTCAGCAGTCTATGTACATACAGGCATTCACATCATTTGTCTTATTAGAATAACTTACCTACAACTCGCCTGCCTTGTAAATGGTTTACCATTGTGCATCGTTAAGCCATAATATGTCGTGGGACGATTTGGTATTATCGTTATGGGATATGAATGAGGATTCGATAGAACACTATCCAATGAATCCGGCTCAGGATCTATTGACACCGATTTGGCGAATTTCTTTGGATCGGCTAGAGGTTCCATTGCAGATTTATCGGATTCCGGTGAAGTCTGATTGCCGTCGTCTGATGTTGAAATGTTGGTCATTAAATTGCATCTTAAGCGTGATATCATTTTGATGTTTGCAGAAGTTATTGTTGTATGGCAAAAATAATCTGAAAAGAGTAATAAAAGCACAATATTTGTTAAGTTAATGAGTCTGTAAACACTTTTTAAGATTTTCTTCAACAAACTGTTATATTTATTGCTAATACTTTGGTATACATTGCATTTTTTCACAGTTAAATGCAATTGTGTGAATCGCCTCCGTTGAAGTGTTTCGACTTAACAAAACGTCATATCATAAACAATTTCCTTCCCTTGTAGTGTGTGGTCTAGGTTATAACAATACTTCAAAATGTAAATTACGAAATATACGTAAGATAAGGAGGTGTATTTTTAAAACGCGAATATATCATCGCAATTGAATGGGGGAATGAACCTAATAAGAATACAATTATTATACCTTCAATAAGAACGTCGTAGTGAAAATATTATATGAAATCCGGTATAATATAGTTACACGAAAATAGAATTACCTAATATGGACGACTAAACACTTCAAATGGGTAAACTTTTCGTTTGTTTTAATTCAAAGGAGTTCTCTCATGGTATCGTTTCATTGATAGATGTTAGAATGCAGATTTTTGGCAGAATTCGGGAGCATAAAAAGGAAATTCTGTTCGGATGCATAAATAGGTTTTTCCGACTTTTTCAATAGGTAAAAAAACAGAATTTGAACTAGACCTATTAGCCGATTAAAGCAATAACCAAATTTTCTGATTTCTGAAACTGAAAAACCTCCAGACATCAAAACCCTTCACAACATTGTTATCTGGTTTGTGTTTTACACATTCTTACAATATCTTATACCGATATATAGGTAAATTCAGTACAACCCCATTTTTGATCGCCCCTCTAGTTGTTATCTACGTTTTGATTTATTCTGCCAGTCGGTGTTACCCTCAGCTTTTGACATATGTAGCAGACCCTAAAATGACATTTCTGGTACTATGATTAAATATGGAATGACTTTTGTTTGCATTTTGGTTGTGGAGGTTTACGAAACTTCTTTCTAGTATCGAGTTATAGCAATTTTTATTGTACTCATGTATTTTATATACCCTTCACCACACGGTGGTACAGAGTATTATAGACACATGTCCGTCTGTCCGCCTGTGAGTCTGTCTGCACAAATTAAATTGTAAATAAAGTACAGGTCGCATTTCCCTAAAAATTCAATTCAGATTTACATATAGCTCTGATATATATTTTCATCCGATTATATGTAAATGGTGCACCGAAGACCCAAATTTAGAACGATTGACAAAAAATTTTACACAGCGTGCTATCGTGTGGAAAGTTTTGTTGAAATCCGTCCAGATTTAGATATAACTCACATATATAGTTTCGTCCAATTTTAAGTAAATGGTGCACCAAATTTTTGAATATAGCTCCGATATATATTTTCATCCTATTGTAAGCAAATGATCCAAAAAGGACTCAAAATATGGCCGATAGGCTGAAATTAGTATAACAAAATTTTCGTTTAAATCCATTTATATTTTCGTCCGTTTTTAAGTAAATGGTGCACAAAACTTCTGATGTTTTGTCAGATTGACATTAAATTTTGCACAACGTAAAAAATTGAGCTATAATTAGGTATATTAGGTGAAATGGATTACTGATTTCTCGAGTTATCGTGCGCACCAGCCAGACGGTCGGACAGACATTTGTAGATCGGCTTCAACTCGTCTAAAAGGTATTTAGTCCAATTCCCTTGCGTTAAAACCAATATTTCTTTTTTCCATGGTTCTCCTCTTGGAGGCATAGGACTTTCACAAAATATAACCGTCTTACCCGCTTAGTTGCGATTGTTTTTGCATCTTCTCATGTGAGGTTATTTTGTCTTGGTTCTTGAGTTATTGTTCGTCGCCAGGTATTTCTTGGTGGATCTCGATCTAGAGATTCTTCGGGATTCCAGACAATAGCTATTCTGGTTATGTTATTTTCTTAAGGGGTTCCTGTTCCGTTAGATTATACAGCTCTACCTCACTTATGGTGTTGGGAGAAGAAAATTTTGAAATTTGACATAGATTTGAGTAGAGCATACGTCATTTCCAAATAGATTAATGAAAATAGCTATCTTGTCAAAAACCTTATGGTTTTGGGTGGGATTCCGACGATTCTGGCGTACGTCACTGTTTATGTCTCTGTGTGTTAGACGTAAGCCTTATAGCAGAATCAGTATTATACATCCTTTAAATATTTTAAGCTTACATCAGCTCTTTGGATTGCGCAAACATCAATACACCGTAATTTTCAGTTAATGTCAAAAATGTCGGGTAGTTGCCCATTGACACCTAGAAAAATCATGAACTGATGGGGGCCATTTTCAACTTGGCTACTTCTCGAAATAAAATGTTCGAATCTGTGGCTCGAAAATCAATGAGTTATTTTTGTTAAGTCTATTGCGATCTCTATCGTGAATTCAACAGACATGCGTAAATCTGCATAGAATTTTATTCCGATCAGGAATATATATACTTTGTGGGGTGTCCGATGAATATTTCAAGGTTTTGCAAACGAAATGACAAAATTTAATGTACAGTCCACCTTATGGTGGAGAATTTAAAAAACACACACAAGAAGTCATGTCATCTCAACAGCAAGCTACAATAGCTGCAAACAAATCTAAAAACTTTTTTCCTTCATGAATAATAGAATCACCAGCCAAAAATGCATCACCCCATTACTCAAATATTTGACCTATGACCGCCAAGCGCTTTAATTCTTAAATGAATTTCCCACCCACAAAATCTTTTGCACAATATAATTGGTAACCTAATTAAAAATCAAACTATTTTTTATTCTTAAAATAGAACAAAACCTTTTACCTACTTATAAACAAGAAGAACAAAACTTATAAATTGTGCTAAATAACGCCATTAGGACTGCAATCAATCGAGAATTATCTCACGTACGACAGCAGCAGCAGTTGCAGCCGCAAAAAATGAATTGAAATGAAATGAAAATGCAAATAAGTTTTATTGATTTATAGTGGAATTACCGAACAGAGCAAATACTGTAAATACGTGTGTATCGGGCGGTTATTCGAATCGTTCTCTCTATTTAAATGAAATATTGGGTACAATGCAACAACCGTATTCGAATCAATCCAGCTATGTGTCTGTTGACATGTGTTGAGGCGTGTAAATACCGGTATAATGAAATGTTTCAAATGTTTTCCTAAATGGAGGGGCGATTTAATTGAATTAAATATTATTTGAATATTTCATGGGTGTTAATGAACGTGTTTAGAATTTTGCGGTATTAAAAAATCGCCACAATTTTAGTCCAGACTAAAAAAGTGATATATTTTTATGTAGATATTAAATAAATATATAGGGTTGATAAATCAATCAGTGGTGTATGTGTTTATTCAAATAGGGGTGTAAGAAGAAGTTGATTCGCCGTTTGTGTTAAAGAAGTCTGTCCTTCTGTCTTTCCATGTTAAATTGTAAACAAAGTACAGGTCGTATTTTTGATTCGAATTGGATGAAACTTAGCACAGCTCATTTCATTGGCCCAAGGACGAAACCTATTGAAATTGGAAAATTTCGTCCGATTTAAGGTAAATGGTGCATCAAATTTGCACTAAGTCTAGAGTAATGTGTGCTATGTTTCGTGAAAATCGGTTCAGATTTAGATATAGCTCCCATTCAGATATATATATATATATATATATATATATATGGTGTACTAAAAATCCATAGCGTACATAACGTACTGAAGTTAATATAAATTAATCTCTGGCAAGTTTCCTTGCAGTTGGTTCAGATATAGCATAGCTTATATATAGATATAGATATAGATATAGCATAGCTAATATATATAATAATCAAAGGGTGCCTGATTGAAATTAAATTTTAAACAGTGCAGCATATCAAATAGCGTTTGCCAAGTTTGCTTAAAATCGATTTACAAAATTTAGCATAGGTGCAGAATGACATGTTTAGGGATTGATGGTAGTCGGTTTACATATAGATAAATATCACATATTTAAGTTCGTTCAATTTCATGTCAATATTCCTTCGAACAGCCGACGTCTGTTAGGATACATATGTAGAATATACCCAAGGTGGTGAAGGTTATCATATAGTCGTCGGACTGGGCGACTATATGATAACCTTCACCACCTTGTGTATATTCTACATATGTATCCTAACAGACGTCCGCTGTTCGACTACTTCCTTAGTGGTTTTGTAAAAGAAATATACTTTCGCTTTTATCACCCAATTATGATGACATTTGTTATTTACGAATATATGTTCAAACTTCGCGAGAATCTGTCCAAATGTAGGAAGGGCTCGTATATATACTCTGATATCATATAAATGATGCACCAAGAATAAAAAATGTGCCAGTCGGTGTTGATTTGCGTAAGTCTGTGGTTTGCGTTGGTCTTTGGAACTACACAGGTTTTATAATTCGTTCTAATTAAATTTACAAGTTCATAAAGTATAAAATATTGACCATTTGTGGGGGAGGTACCAGAAGGAGAGGGCCGACGGGTCCCTCCTTCAGACTTGATCTAGGCTTGGAATAGATAATAAAAAGTGTAAAGTTTGGTTTAATTCGCCTGGTATTGGATCTAAGTTTGGAAGAAATATTACTATGTGCCAAGTTTGGATGAAATCGATTACTCCCTTCGAGAGTTAACGTGTGAACCAACCAAACAACTGGACGGAAATTTGTAAATAAACTCCAAATTTCCTGAAACGAATTTGGTCCAAAGAAACATGGGGGGGGGGGCACATGTAAATAATTTTATCGTTGCTTAATTTACAAATTTAAGTTGTTTTTTATACCCGACACCACTATGTTGTCAGGGTATTATAGCTTTGTGCAGCCCCAAGAGTTTGTAACGCCGCGAAATATTGGTCCTAGACCCAACTTTAAGTATACCGATATATCTCCCAAATATATTTTCGTCCGATTTAATGTAAATAGTCCACCAAAGTCCCTATATCTCTATCGATGTGCACGAAATTTGGCACAGCGTTATGAAT